ATTTTTTGAATAACTTTTCATAAGAACAAGATAGAGACCTGCGGTTTTCACCGTTGGAAAGAGAAGATGAAGACGCATCGCACCATATATAGAAAGATTTTCCTAGCTACTTTTCTAAAGGCTTTAGTCAAACGTTTTCAAAGAATTGCTTTTTTCTGCTACATTAAAAAGAAATTTTTCTATCAAAATACTACAAAAACTAGCATTTTTCGATTATTTTGTTGAAAAACCGAGGTGGGAAACTATGTCTTTCATGGTTTGGATATCTTACTGGTAGCCGTTAGGAATAGAATCTTGATATGGTTTTTTAGCGCTTTGTCCGGCGATTCTAGCGCATTCCTGAAAATTACTAAATTAATATCATGACGATGAGAGGTATGCTGTTTTTCTTGAAGTTTTATGTAAAACCGTTAGGAAAGTTGTTAGAAAATCTTTCTACACATGATTCGATGCGTCTTTATCTCCTCTTTCCAATGGTGAAAACCGCAGATCTCTATCTCATTCCTATGAAAAATTATTCAAACAATACACACGACCACTTATCTCTGAAATGGACATTAGTAGAGATTTATCGAGCCGAAATAAATGAATCTCTTACTGTTCAAAATACGAAATAAATCCTTATATGTAATATAAAACTATTAATAATTTATTATTGATCATCCACTGAAGTATAGAATCTCCTATATCTAAAGAGTCTTTGTTCTTTTTTTCTACACAACAAGATCGGTGATAAATTAATATTATTCAATATGACACAAACTATAAATATTATATGCAGTAGGCAAAGTTGAAAGAATTAATCATTTACTCCGAGCCCAGATCATATGGTATCCACATCATCAGTGTCTAAACACATTAGAACAAGGGTGTGGGTGGGTGGGTGTGGGTGCGGGTGTGCGTGTGGAGTGTGGGGTGTGGGTGTGAATATCTTCTCATCACACACACCCACACCCACCCACACCCACCCACCTACACCCACCTAGGTCCAGCATTACGATGACCGTGAGCGGGTCGTAAACGACTGTTAATGATAAGGATATGGCTGTAAACTGCCCGTATTTGACCCGTTTGGTATGCGCCGTAATACGACCGTATATCACCGTGCCGTATACGATTAGAAACGGTGAAAAACGGTTGGAAAATTCCGTATTCGATCGTTTACGACACGGCGATATACGGCCGTAATACGGCGCATACCAAACGGGTCAAATACGATCAAAAACGACCGTTTACGACCAGGCTTGTTTCACCTGGGCACACCCACATCCACCCACACTCACACCCACACCCTCACATTCAAGGAAAACTAATATGTTTCCCACCCACACCACTAAAAACGTAGTTCAGCCTCCTAGTCCCATTGTAATATTAAAAAATCTCCGATCTCTCATCCCTTCATGTAAAACATTCATTCTTTTGCAAATTTTCCACAAGTCCAAAAATCATGCGACCAACTAGCAAACCATTATAACTTTTAACCTCACCCCGAACGAAAAAATATCACTATATTTAAATCACCAACAAACATCAAAACTTACATTTCCACTACACTATCTATACCATTATCCCCACCTAATCAATTCTCTCGCACAACATACACCGCAAATGACCCAAAACACATATGTCCCTATCCCACCCGACCAAAAAAACCATAAACAAACTATATTGAACAGATCTAAAACTAAATGTCTTTCTAATCTTCTTTTAGGTCTACACAAGGATGATCTACAAAACCAACAAACAACTAATCAAACACAAGACGCATAT